GAGGCATTAATCATCGCTCCTGCGACAGTGACAAAGGTGTGGATTGTAAAAGCCTTGTCGCCACTGACGGTCAAAAGCTATTTAACCATCAACTGACAAAGAGCTTGCCATTAGGTACCAAATCCACCAATCGATGTAAAAACAAGAAAAAATTATTGAAACTTTTTTAGCATTCAATCTTAAACGGTCCAGAAGGTCCGCAATGATCAATCATCCAATTGTCGATATTATTTTCCGCGTTGTCCATTAATAAACCGTATTTTATATTGTTTTTCTTTGACATATAGCTATTTGCTATAAGTAGCACAGCCTTTTCACAATGAACGGAACGATCAGAGCTTGGATCTCAAAAACCTTGTCTCCATTGTTTAATTACGCAATCAATTCCGCAAATGTTATAGTGTGAGATAGTCTAATAAGGGTTGCCTTGACACACTACATTTTACTGATGTAACCGTCGACGATTATGGTTGACCATGAGAATCTTCATGACGCTCCTAAGCCGGTTGCCAGTCGCATCCTACTGTTCCCTGAGTCGTAGGAGTTGTTGAGCACACAGTAGCCTGCACCAGTTTTCCGGTATTCTTACATTATTGAGCGTGTTTTAGCGAGTGTTTATTCGGCAATCCATCCGCAGTACGAACCCCCATGAACTATTGCCGGCATACCCCAGCTTTCATCCTGAACATCGGATTCAGAAATTTAGAGCACTTTTCGAAATCTGAATCACAACAGTCCTCATTAGCGAATGGCTGGAAACCTTTATCTTAACCTGCAGAAGCGGGCTCATGCATCACTTCCAAGGGCCCGCTGTAGCAGAAATCGCTGGACCGGCTGGTAATCGGCGACGAATCGCACCCGCCATTCCCAAAGGTTTCGAGCCTTTCCCTGAAAGAGCGGCCTTCTTGGCTATTTACAGATGATCATCACCTTTGCAGCGGATGACCAAGCGGCCTAATTCACCCATAAGGGGGCCAGTCGGCTGTCATCACCGGTCATCTTCCGTTGATGAGCCGAGCTACATGACCGGTCCATAGCAGCTTCACCTGTACTTTTGGCGACAACGTCCTTCACCACCTCCCGCCATCTGATCACATTGATAGGGTTGTGGTCACGATGTCAGATTTCCAACGTTCCACTTTCCATGCCTCTCTCGATGACAACTGCCGCTCTTCTTTAACACATACAACATTGCCGACAGGACGGCTAAAAACCGGAGGTGGTTAGCGCTGGTTTCTTTCTTAATGTTGCCGATGAGGACGCCCATAGTGGAATGGAACGCACGTCAATGAACCCTGTTTCTTCGTTGAATCTTTCCAGTTTGATCATGCCGCAAGTTGATCTTTTGGCTCAGGTAAACGTAATTATCAACGTCTTCTATCTTTCCATTATTCAGAATTATTTATTACTTACCCTACGATGGGGCGCTCGATTGCAACATCCAGTTTGAGCGATTGATTCGAAGTACGGTTTCTAAACTTTCTCTATCGAGCACTTGCAGTTGACCGGTGTTTTCTGGAAGCAACAACGTCATCAGCAAACCTCAAATGGCTGAGCCTTTCATAGTTGACGTTAATCCCACCCTTTAAGTTTTTCTTTCGGAGCAGCATTTCCAAACAGGCAGTGAACTGTTTAAGAGAAATGTTCTCCCTTTGTTTACGCCTTTCTCTACGGCAATCCGGAGGGTGGTATCGAACACAGTGACGTTCGTAAGGCAGCCAAAATTTCTTTCCTTAGGTTGATGCAACGGATATCTATACCCTGATCTGTCAGCGCAGTCTACACTGCGTTATGCTCGACAGGGTCGAACGCTTTCTGTTAGTCGACGAAGATTATGTACGGAGGAAACTGGAATTCTCTCACGCACACGAATTAACTGACGGCAAATTGTCATCTCTTCAGCTGTAGCTGCTTCGGAAACTTGCATGTTCTTTAGGTTGCTGTTCATCTTGACTTATTGACACCCTGTCAGTGATGATGTCTCCGAACAGTTTGTAAACCAATGAGAACAGGGAAACTTGGTGATAGTTCTTCCGAATTTCTTTCTTGATTAACAATTATTTTTCACTCCTTCCAGCTTCTAAAGTGTCTGACCATTTCAGCTATCAGACTGTGAAGCTACCTTGCAAAAAGTAGACCCACCACGGCCACAGGATCGGTTAAACTGCTACAAATCTTTCTAAAATTGGAGACTGGCAGTGTTGTAATTCTACTTACGGATATTTTTAAGCCGTGCACTAACAATGATGCCTTTCCTCATGTATGGGAAAAGTTGCAGATCACACGTGTCTCAAAATGGCAGAATCCAGATGCTCAATGACTGGACGCCGGTCGCGGTTTTCTCCGGTTGCAAATGAATGCTTCGAACGGCTGTAATACAACATTCACTAACATGCACAGAAGCACCTGGATTCGCCTTCAGTCACGAGGCCAACTCCTGACGCGTATCACCTACTTCATCGTAAGAAACCGAAAATAGCTCCCTCAGCATTCACAGACTTTAGCTCCGCTTACAACACAGTGCCCCTAACCGCTTGATGCAGCTTCTAGATTCGACATGCATCAACCTTCCAATTATTCGCCTACTCTGCGTATTTTTAACCATCTGCAGCCGTCTGCCTGCAGCAAGCATCGAGACTCAAATATTCAACGCTGTAAAGTTGTTGCTCAAGGACCTGTCTTTCAGTCAATAATGTTCGCGCTGTTCAAGTGCAGAGGAAACTCGGGCAGAATAGGTATGAAATATGCGAATGAATGCAATTCTAGCAGCCAGCCGTAAACCCTCCTGCCGTCATCGATTCATCGTAAAAGTAAATGTAGGAAATCTGAGTGGGTCACCAACGCAGGACTAATGAGCAACGCCAGAAAATTCGTAGATTGCATTTTTCCCTTCAGAAGACGGAACAGCGATTTCAAGAAATCCACTAAAATCAGTCAGACATCGACGAAGACATTAATTTCATGGAGGCAAATGAAGTGAATTCCCTCGGCGTAGTATTAAGCAGACACCTGAAATTGGCTGCGCAGGTTACGGATGAAAACCTAAAATTGACAACTGTTAATTTTAAA